GCGCGCGTGCCACTGCTAGTCCGCTTTTGATTGGTCCCCACGTCCGACAAGGGTGTGAATGCAATCAGGCCACCCACATAAGGCGAACCCTCAAAGTACCTCAAAATAACGACGGTTTCCCTCGTTTTTTCTTTAATAGTGTCGCTGGCGGTGGCGTCACAGGTCAGGCACTTGGGAGTCGTTAGAAATTAAATGACAATCTTGCGGGTTTTATATGGGGATCAATGTCAGTTGATATTATCACATTCGCCAGCAGAATTCACGTAGGGCTATAAACAAACAAACAAACTAAACATTAAGGTTCTAACGACCTTGACAAAATCGATTATTGAGTGTGTCCTTGTGGGCGGATGAGTGCGCGTGCATAACAGGCGACCGGCGACAATGACCAATGAAAAAAACGCGTATGAGTCATTGAAATCAATAATTATGTAAGCAAGCTCCTTTCACGCGTGATCGCTGACAGTCTACTACACCTCTGATTCATGCTTATTGTGGGCCCCAGTATGTGTTCTTGAACCACGCCGGGGCTACGGAATTAATTCTGGCCCGATTACCCTTCCCTGATACCCCCGATGAAGGAAAAGGCCGGAGAGGACGTGGACGCAATCGTTTACTTCAGAGCTCAACCACGTTGGTGTCGTTGTGTCGTGTGTGGGGTTTACGCGTATGTATTTGTACCTCAGATGTGTAAGTCATAGATGCGCTAACATCGAGACCTAGGTGTGAGGATAATCCAAGGTAAATATTCTCATGATAATGAGGGGGGAATTGAGGATCGGTGAGGCTGGCGACATGCTGTGAAACGGGGGACCCTGTGTCGGAGGCTTGAGTGACCAGATTAACGCGATTCACAACAGGTTCATTGGTAGAAATAGACGTGGCTTGACACAATCCAAATCACTGCGCCAGTCGTGGATCCAACAATGTCATCATCCGTCTCCACGTGCAAGACGACAACGATTGAATATATGGTGCCAAGAAACCAATCTTCACGTTACCTCTGCTAGCCTAGATACCAGTAACCCTTCGAACGGATCTACACCTCCACACGGGCGCATTCTGTCTACACTCGTAATCGATTGTTTTCTACTAAACGGCCACCTTGTCGGTAATACCCTGATGCGTCTGGCCAGTATAGAATTCGTGTAACAACATTCTCGTTTGATAGCTATCTCTTCAGGATCGGCGTTTGCACTTAAACACTTATAAATGCGATAATGTGAATCTGAACACAACGAATTCCTGCATGTTTGTGGAAGATCTCTAGAAGTTGTAGTGCCTTGTGGTCTAAGCACTGCCTTACAACTCGCTAGTTAACAGCCCGTAACAACCCGAGAATGGAGGGAAGAGAGGTGACAGAGGAGGCGACAGTTGATTAGCGTCACGCCAGCCACGTGTGTCTTAGTGTGTGGATGCGTGGGCGGATGACGGGCGTCTGATAACAATGACCAATGAAAAGGAGGATGAGTCATTGTCACCGTCAGGTCGGTAACCAGGGTTCACTTGGGCGCGATCGCTGTTAACCCGCTACAAAGAGATCGCCAACTCCATCTGTCATGCCAGAAGAAGTGACTTTAGAGAGTTGACCCTTGATAAAACGACTCCACATGGAGCACTCATTTGCGTTGGAATGAAGGGATCGTTGAGGGATCAACATTCGTAAACCCGAGTCGATTTATAGTGGGATCGAAACCTCTTTTATGGGGTGGCAGCAGAACTTCCTAAGACAATAAGAGTTCCTTGAAACAAATGAATCTCTAATTCACAAATAAGTTATTTAGCACAAAGTAGAAAAATTGAGTTCTTTCATGTCATTACCATGGTTGAACGTGTCGTGTTGATTCACACTCGTTAATTCGTTCACTCCAGTCCTTTTCGCAGCGTGTCGCCAGCCACGCGGATCCTCAACTGTCTCCTCATTCGAACGAATATTTATCTTGGATTATCCTCACACGCAGGTCTCGATGTTAGCACATCTATGACTCACACATCCGAGGTATAAATACACACGCACAAACCCCACACACGACACAACGATAAGAAACGTGATTGAGCACTGAAGTAAACGATTGCGTCCACGTCCTCTCCGATCTTTTTCTTCATCGGGGGTATCAGGGAAACGTAATCGGACCAGGGCCAATTCCATGGCCCCGGCGTGGTTCAAGACCATATGCTGAGGCCCACAACAAACGTTTGATAATTAGAATGCCTTCTCTATCATTTTAATTCCAAAGATTTTATTGACAATGCTCCTGTAATGAAACGAGTTTTTAGACATTCTTTCTTAGCAAGGACAACGCGATTTCCTCCATCGAAGTACAGTCTGGATCTGTTCAATTCCAAACGACGTCTACTAAAATTATCAACGTTGTTCCCTGAAAGGCCGGAAAGTGTCAACAAAAATGCCAGAGGACACCTTAATTGACATCTTTTTTGTTACCGAAGAAGAAGCGTCAATTTCCAAAGTTTGCCATCAATGTACTTCTGAATCTTCTTGCTTCGTAGTTACTTAATTTACCTGTAATTTTAATTAAGAATTGTGATTTTGACTTGGCCTTTATTGTACCAAGTCGATCGTCACTGAAAGGACACGAAAAAAACACGCGTTGCATTTTAACGAATGCCTTACTGGAACGAGTTTTACAATTTTCCGCACAAACTGTCTTATCCATCATTCATTTGGACCTGCGAGCGTTATTTCGTAAAATAGCACAACTTTTAATACACATACCAACCCTAGAAGACACGATTTTCAACTCCAAACTTCAGTTATTAATTGAATGCGCAATCCTATTCGTCGGAACCCACCTACTGTTCCTAACCACCAATAGGATTACTTGAAACTCGCGTCTGGCAAAACTAGTTAAAAATATTCGTAAACATCCTTAAGCAGAAAGCAGGATCGCCTCTAGTGATGGTGATGTAGACAAAAACTAATTAATTAATGTAGGCACACAAAACACACAGTCTGCTGGCCGATAGGATTTCCCATTGCCACGTCGTTTGTGGTTTGTCTACTTCAAACTGATTGGTGCTTTCGCGAATGAACAACGTTCGCTGATTGACCAATGAATGCCTCGAAGCTTGGCTGTACCTGCTACGAGCGATCCCTCCGTGGCATCACGTGCAAACACGCAAACGCACAACCTGGATTTTCATTTTGGAGGATGGACGAACAACGAGAGCATTTCTTGAGGAAGTTCAGAGAGATGGATGTTGACAAAAGCGGTGTTCTAACTAAGGATGAAGTAAAGACTTGTCTTCTAGCCTCGGGATTTGACAAAAAATTCATCAAGGTGAGAGATAATTGTGGTTTAAAATATCGCCGCGGATGTGAGCGTAATTTGTCAGAGGTCGGAGCAACCATTTGTGCAAATACTCACACATAGAAACCACTCCAGTTAATAACCAATCAACGTCGCTTTGCTCATCATTTTAAACCCAATCTTTGTGGACGTAGATAATGGAACTTTAAGAATGCCGTTCTCTCATTCCGAAACCGGACAATTCAGTCAGATTGGCGAGTTGATAGCTAGAGGTCACGAACTGTCAAATTAGCGTATCGACTCCTAATAGATAGCGGCAAGTCACGTGGCCGACCGAATTCCAAGTGCAAATACGGAGGGCACGCTCGTGTAATCGCACCGTTTGTGTGCTAAAACGAACTCATCGACGTATTTAAGGCGTACATCCTCTAGTGTGCTAATACGTGTTGAAGCAAGCAAGCTTACAGTGTGGTGTTTTAGATTTAATGATTGTCACTGCGATAAATCTGGTCATGCGCAATTGTCTCTACAAAATAATACTATTTAAAGTTAATTTGGCTTGTTTTAATCCATAACTCTTGAAAATGGGATGAAAATCACCCAGCCATTCCCACTGGTTGGCTCAAGGTCATTGTGGAGTGTGCTGCAAACACGTTGGTTGATGTAATCCAGAGGAATCCTGCTGGATTCCTTACATTTTTCTTAAATTTTTAACCGCGAACGCGATCGACATGTGTGTAAGCCACTTTATCATGCGTATTTGATTCTAAAAATGTGGAAAATTGTTAGTGTAATTTACGATACAGCATCCGGGCGCTTTACTTACCCTTTTAGCAATTCATACGGAAATTTGATGCTGATGGCGACGGAAACATCACAGAAGACGAGTACCTCCGTGTCGTGTGCATTTTGCCCAAGAAAGAACAAAAGTTCGTTTAATTTAATCCTTAAACGCAGAGGAAAGCGCACATTCAGATTAGGCGCTGGTTTGTTGAGTTTTATGCAGCCCTTTAAAGTGTTTCATGCCGGAGTTGTAAGTCGGTTGACGAAAAACCACCGAATTTGCATATTAACTTAGCACTTGTGGATTCAATGAGCTGATTGATTGATACACTCTCGTTGAAGAAAACTCAACCATACTAGCAGCAGCCATGGCATTCTGGTAGAAGGGTCTGATTATGGCTGCAAACACCACTTATGATGCTGAGTTGTCTAATTGTCATCCTACATAAACAAAAGGTACACAAAGTGTGTGCACAAAACAAGACAAATTGAAGAGATTGGCTGTGTTAATTTGACCGCCAGTCAACGCCACGCTGCTCATTGGTTCATTGGTTGTGCTTGCAGGCTTGCTTTCTGGAGAAGTGTTTTTGACGACATCGACAAAGACAAGTCTGGGAGAATCTCGTGCCAGGAGCTGCATCACCTTCTGAAGGACATGGGATTTCCAGTGAAGGTCTCCGAACTCAAGGACTGGATACGCGGTCAGGACAAGAACAATGACGGCGAAATGGACTTCCAGGAGTTCGTCGCGTTTATGTCGAATGCAGAGGGCTAGGTGTTAGCTCCTTTTGCCCGCCAACTTTGATTTGGCAGCCCTGTAAATATGTTTCCGGCTGTCTGATTTTACTTTAACTTAAATTTTTCACCAAGAACAACTGAACATTCCCTTGATGTTAAACCGCACTCACTTTAACGCACATACGTATTGTACAAACGACGTGTTATTTTGTTAATTTTCAGGCTTTGGAAATCCAAGAAATGGAGAATCCAGATGGATTTATGGGTAGTTAAAAGGTTTTGTTTAAATCGAGGGTTCAGCCTTATTTCATGCGTCCAGTGCGCATTTTGAACATTGATTCCTAAAGGCTAAATTTCCCGCTTAATTGATACCTTGATAAATTGCAGAGAGAAACCATTAACAACTCAGCAACGTGTTTTTTTTAAAATGCGCATTTTTTAGCACATCAGGTAATGAGGTTAAATTCCCTCTTCGATTCATCATCGCATCATCCCAAATTATTTGCAATTAATATCGGTGACGTTTAGAGTGGGACTAGCCTAACACGCATTTTCACACAGAACAAAATGATCTGATTGGTCAGTTTTTTTGGAACAATTAAACAAATGTTAAACTGCGCTCATTTCAACGTAAATACGAATTGTACAAATAGACATTTTATTTTGATAATTTTCGGGCTTTGGAGATCCAAGAAATGGAAAATCCAGTTGGATTTCTTGAAAGTTTCATGCGTCCAGTGAACATTTTGAACTCTGATTCCTAATGGCTAAATTTCTTGCTTAATGGGGCCATTAATAAATTACCGAGAACAGCCATCAACAACTTCACAACGTGTTTTTAAAAATGCGCATTTTTAGCACATTTTTGTGTTGGATATGATCATCTGGTAATGAGGTTAAATTTCCTCTTCGAATCATCATCTCAAAGAGAATTGGTTAAAATAGATGGATGTTTATTTCATTTTCTATCCAAATTATTTGCAGTGAATATCGGTGACGTTTAGAGTGGGACTAGCCTAACACGCGTTTTCACACTAAACAAAATGATCTGATTGGTCAATTTTTTGAAGCAATTAAAAATGCCTTTCACGAGTTATACCGACTAGCTTTTGCAAGATGAGGCATTCCACCGAAACAGAAGTTTTCTTTCGTCCGCATTACGTTTATCATGGCTTCATTTTTTGCTAAAATCATCAACTACTTGACATTCGATCCCAGGGAGAACAGGCTACGGCAAAGGAATGTTTATATCGGTTTCCACTGTGATTATTTGTGAAGTCGGCAGTTTAACTTTAGGCGCGGGCCTTACCCAACGTCGGTTTTCACACCAAACAAAATAATCTGATTGGCTTCCTCTCATTACTTATGTAAACATTTACGTCTACACCTCATTGGTACTTTAATCTTTACTGTGGTCATCCGAATAGAAAATACTTGATTCGATCAATTCTGCTTATAAACACCATTTTTTTTTGTAATTTTAACCCATTATATTCCAATTTTTTTTAAAAAAATTCCGGGAGTCGTGTTTTTTAGACGTTTACTCCTTTATCTACTATTGAGTGGATTTCAGATTCAGCCTAATTGTGCTCGAATGAATTCATTGATATTGGAGTACTAGAAAGCTCAGAAATTTTGCCCAATATCGTGGAAATTTATAGCAGCAGCAACATTTAAATCCCGCGGGTGCAATAAAAGTACTTAAATTTGAAACCAAACCCTCCTTTCCCAGTGGTTATAAAAGTAGCAATTAAAGGATGGTCAGTTTAAAAGATAGTTATAAGCAAAAAACGGTTTATCTCTGAAGGAAACTCCACTTAGCAAGGAAAATGCCATGAAAGCTGCTCGCCAGCCGTGTTAATTAACTGCCAAAAAAACATGCCGATAGTTATTGCTCGTAGGAATGGAATTTGGGCGCAGGGAACACAGATAAACACTGATTAATAGATCAATTTCAAAGGGGTTAAGGTAGTTAATCATCCCCAAACATGCTACCAAAACATTAGCGTGGATGTAGACTCCGTAACTGGAAATTATCCCCAGGTTCCAAGTTGGTTTCACGTTATCCTTCATTTCTAGAGTCATTACCAGGGTACAGCGACTGTTACCACGTAAACTCGTGACAATTTGATGTCTAGTAATTGAATTGATGGTTACTTCTGCCATTTAGGGTCCCCGGTGTGTGTGTCCTGAACAAATGGGATTTCAGAATGGCTTAGTTATTTTTGTTTAAATGGCCAGTAATTTCTAGATTTTACAGAGATCAGAGACAAGAGATGCGACAACTCTTTTTCTTAGGAATACGTCAGTTCAGTGTGTATTTGTATGCGAATGAGTACGCGTGCACAATGGGCAACAGATAACGGTAACCAATGAAAAGTGTGGATGAGTCATTGAAATCAATAATTTTCCAAGCAGGCATCACCGACTGTCCACAACTCATCTCCCTCGCGTTTATCGGTGGTACAAGTGTCAGTTTGTTATTGCCAGACAACCCGAGTACCATTTTATAAGTGTGCGTCAGGGCGATTATCGATTGTCAATTGAAATCGATAATTAATGACATCTGATGAACTTGTGAATAAGGCTCACTTGCGTTCTTTTCTTGGCAGTCCACTACCAGCTGTTCACCGAATATGGAACTGTTTCGGTGCAATTACAGCCATGCTAAGAGTAATTGTGGAATTAATTAGGATTAAAATTCCACCTTGGTGTTAATTATGGCGAATATGTATACAAAATACAATTGTTTGTTAGAGATCAGGGGTTGAATCTCTACAATGAATTGGTTATTTCAATTAAATTTAGCCAAGGTTAATTTCCTGAATGAGAATCCATGGCTAAACAAGCTCGGAAAGGTTGATAGAACAAATCAATTACCGTGTAAACTCGAAGTTGCACATAACTGGTAAGATTCTCAACCCTAGCTATTAGGACCAATCAGTTGTAGGTATGTGGCCACCAATAACGATGCAAGAATAGTGTGCTGATAGCGTAAGACACAAATTTTCAAAAGGCGATTATGTAGTGTATAAGACAAGAACAGCATTATTTGTTAACACTTTAAAGTCGAGATGAGAAGACCACTTAAAAAGAAAATTGTCCCAGATGGCTCCACATTTAATTTTTTTTGTTTGCACAAGGCAGATGTTAATTGCAGTCACTGTAACCGATGTAAACACATGCTTGAACAATGAAAAGCAATTTATTGACATTTAGAGCAATTGAACCATCTGTCGCGGTGGTAGCTTAATTAAAACAAATATTCACACTTACGCATCACAATTTATGACTTTAATGAAAAGTGAAGCAATGAGGTCACGCCAAGGTCAGAAAAGGCCCTCGGAAGGTCAGTTTTAGAGATGCATCAAGCTGTCCGATTTGTGTTTTAAAATTTAACGGTCAGCTGTTTAGCAGAATCACTAAATTTTCTACCAGTTCGGTGCAAAAGCAATTTCGAATTTTTATGGTAAAGGTTTTAGAATTTACCCAGACGTGTTTGTATCTTTTTTTGGAATTTATGTCACGTTAATTAATATTGTTCAGATTTCAGCAGAGGTTACGCTTTTTAATCTTAATAAATATCTAGCGGAATTGGTTTAACACAGCACTAAAAGACACCGTTTTATCATGATTTCATGCAACCTTTTGTTTAAATCAAGTCCGTTTTTGTTAAACGCCCTGATTGGTTGTTACCCATAAGAATTGAGATTTGACATAAAGTTAAAGCCAGGAGTAACAGGCATATCCACTTTTTGCGACAAAAATTTTGGAGCGCTCTCTGTACTTCAGTCGGAGGCGGTTTTGCAGATTGAATAAGTGAACAATGCAAGCACGATCTGCGCATTTTAGCATTCCGTAGGGGTTAATTGTTTTGATTGCTATTCTACCAGTGTGGGGACGACAGTGGGCATAACTAGCAATTTCGTCTGTGACTTGACTGAGGTTATGCAGACCACGATAAATTCGATTTAAATATACTTCGTGCCAATTTCCCTCTTTTTTTTTTAGAAAAAAATGCCAACCATTTAGCTTACTTAACGCTGCTTATGTCTTTTTAAGTCTTTTTTTTTAAAATGTTAATCAAAGATTTAGCTATTTACTGCGATACATTAATTTTTAACCGTGGTTTTAAAATACGCTTCTCATAAGAGGGCTCTTCGGATGTAAATAAAGGCGTTAGCCAGACCCCCACAAAATGCGTCTTTTGCGGATTTAACATCTTTAGGACAATAGTTCTCAAGCATTCAAGAAGTTTCCAATTTTTAATATGTCATTCGTAGTTATACACACCAAATTTTGTATTCATACCGGCCGCCCCTTTTCCAATTGGTTCATTCATTTTTGAGTGCGCGATTGCTCAAGGCCGCCGGCGCCAAGCACGAGTTGGCTCATCTGAAAATGCGCTCCGCTATTGGCTGAGACGATGCACGTGGTTTTGTTGTTGATGTGGCAGACAAAGTGCTCGATTATTTTTGCTCGGAGATTTACATTTGTGCACGAGTAAACCTTAACGGTTTAATAGCTTTTTTCTCCTAAATTTATTACAACGTGAAATTGCTTATTTAGAAATCATTGATGCCTGCATTTCAGTTTATTAAGATGCTTAACTACAAAATCTTTTTAGCAAATTCGTGTCTAAACTTATCCACCATGTCACACTTATAATCTAAAGGTCCATATAGAGAGCACCTCTTCATTCTTCCTTTTCACTTTGTTGTACCTAAATATTTAATTGCTGCCTTTGAAAATTAAGCTTAGTTGAGTTGTTTTGTCCACTGAACCTGTGTAGCGACTTATAAGAGCGCAGACATATTGGACCACACTGGCCTCAGCCATTCCTCTGTCTCTCAGTGTTCCAATGGCATGCGAGGAAGATAGGCAGCCAATCAGAGACACGTCTGAGAAGTGGTGTATAATGCGTGGTGTAGTCAGCGTGGGGACTCAGCTGGACGGTGCCTGACGTGTGGTTCTGACTTGTGATTGGTCAATAGAGCCTGTTTTGTTATAGCAGTCTCCTTTATACTAGAACTCGAGTATTCTACACCTGTGGAGATCTTCGTGCTTACCTCGTTAGCGCGTGCAAGCAAGCATCTATTCAATCGATCGTCGTGGGTGTAACTCATGTCGCGATGTTTGTTCACCAATCGATGTCACGCTTTGAACACAGCCTATGCCACCACGCTATTACAATGACGATAAATCGATTGAAATACACGTTATCTGCAGTCACCTCGCTCTCTTGGTCTGGCCCCGTCAGTGTTAAGAATTGAACACTTGCAAAATATTGAGTTAACTATGTGTTAAGTGTGATTTGATAACGCCAGTATCTCTCATTTGAAGATAGGAAATTGCTGATTTATTGGATAACCCGATAAATAACGTCCAAATACGGATGTTTACATGTTTTTTAAAAGAGTAATTGGGGCCACATGTGCTAACGTACCTGTTTTACATATATTTGACTTTGTTTAATGACCCATCAGCTACTCATTTCGTAATCAATAATTTCAGTGTAAAAAATACCAAACGTTCGGAAAGGTATTGTGTGAGGCATCAGACGTGAGTTGCTGGTATTTTGGGGGGCTGTGTACGTGCCTTCTGAAAAATGCTACCACCAGCAACTGCTGCGTCATTAATCATTGAAAAAATCCCTCAACCACAGTCTGGCGGAAATCTGACTTCAAGGCCGGGTGATATAATGCACGAGTGGGGATCGGGCGTGTTAATTAAACCTGGTTTGTTGTGGGATCCAGGATGTTATCTTGAACCACATTGGGGCCACTAATTTGGATCCGGATCGATTACTCTACCCTGTCACCCGCGATGAAGAAAAAGACGAGAGAGGACGTGGACACAAGCGTTTACTTCAGAGTTCAACCACGTTGGTATCGTTGTGTCCTGTGTGGCGTTTACGCGTGTGTATTTATACCTCCGATGTGTGAGTCGTAGATGTACATACATCGAGACCTAGGTGTGAGGATAATCCAAGATAAATATTCGTTCGAATGAGGGGGCAGTTGAGGATCCGCGCGGCTGACGACATGTTGCAAAAAGGGGGAGTGACCGAATTAACGAGTGTAAATCAACGCGGTTCAAAACAGGTTAAACTGATTTATTAAAATAGTAGCGGTGTGTGTGAGTGTACAGGATAACGAGTGCGTTTATATAGCTTCGCTAAGTATCGATCGCTTAACGAACGGAGTAACGTGAAGTGCGTTCACGAAAATCGATTGATTGGTGTTCGCTCACGACTGCTAACTGTGCTCGCCTGCTGCTCGCCGCAAACTCGAAGTTGACCTTGTAATAAATGTTCCCGTCCATATCTGATTGGTTTAATCAACTAAGATACTTAAATACCTGCTACTTAAAATGCTCACAAAATTGCAAACCATTTTTATGATATTAATGCTGGCAGATGTCCAAGAAGACCTGATTTAGCGTAGTTAGTTGCTTGTCTGGGCTATTAATGAATTTCAATTTAATTATTCCGCTAAAATGCGGCTGTGCATATGATTGGCGGTAGAGAAGGTTGTTGGTATCTTTGAGAATCCATGCAAACGCGTGCTAATTTCTTTTAACTTACCATGATTTTCGAAAAATTTGATTTAGGCTGTCAAGAGAACATCAGATATGGCGTGACTTTCGTTTTTTCCCACAATTTAGCTGGCAAATATGCAAAATCGAAACAAACATAATGCGCAGCAACTATTGTGTTAATTTAAAGCGTAAATATGTCATTCTTTAGGCTTGCAACAGCTACATGCCCCGAATATGTCACTTATTGCAAAGCGTAGATGAGTTCTATTTAAGCCAATCTGTTATTTGATCAGTTTTACAGCTTACAACGACCTGGAAAATATTTGTCAGTCTAAACTCATCGTAATCTAGCTAGTTATGAGGCAAATGGTGAATTAATTCTTGCCAAAATCCATATAACATTTAGTATAAAAATGTAGTGCCAAGTAATGTAACAGTTCACGGTAAATTAGGCCTGAAAACTCATAATTAGCCCCAAAGCGAGCTATTTAAACAAACTCCTGGCATAATTATCGATCCACGTTTCACAGATCGATAAATAACTCAAGAGCATTCTGCATTAATTGTCTGCCAATTTTAATCACAGTTTTTACACAAATTTAATCATTTATGTCAAAAACGGATCTAACCTTACCAACTTTGGCATTTTCTACGGTTTTGTTTGCAATTCAACACGCAAAATTAATTGCTGAAAAAGTTTGGACAAATTTGGGGAGTTTTGCCTGTTCAGTCATCACCCCAATTCAACATTGACAGTTTACATGAAATAAAGAGGCTAAATTCATATAAAAATTACATTTGCCGCTTATTTCAAGGGCATTTTATTTCCCACGCCTTTTCATGTGTCGTTCGACCTAGAGTTTTGCGTTTTCGAAATTCACTCTACTGGCTTTTAACAGTAGTAATCATTTTAAAAGATTGGTCGAGTTTACTGTGTTGGGTTAGGCGTCCCTAAACCACCGAAAACCGGTGAAATTTTACCAATTTTTGTTGCATTTCTGTCTGACACTCAGTTTCCGTACTATTGGCTATGTCAGTTTTGTGGTGAGACGTTGCTTACGAGCCAGACAAGTGCTTCGAGGGTTTGCGTTCGGAGCACCGCGTCTTCAGGTTGACGAGGATAATGGTGCTGGCATAATAATCCAGAAATAAATTCAATTTATCGAATTTTTTTGTGGTGTTCATCGATTTCAGCACGTATATTTACTACTGCCACCACTTATACTGGTGTTATTTGCCAAGTTATCCACTATTGGCCACTTTGAATAGTTTTCGAACAAAATCAGTGCAGTAAAACAAACGGTTGTGAGGAAATAACATGACAATCACACACACTCACACACACACAAACTGTTTTATTAACAAAACCAACTTTAAAATGATCGTCCTCAACAAACAGAGGGAGGTTTGAAATGCTCCTCTGGCGTGTACATTTGACAAAAAAGCGAGAGAACAAGTGAATTTTCAATCGTCTAGGGTGGCCACAAAACCCAGAAATTCTTTGTACTGCAATTTGCCGTCGTTATTAGTGTCGTAGTCCTCCATCCAGTCAGTTAGAGTGGGTATCAGTGACTCCATGTTCGCCTCCTTCAAAAACGCCGCCAACTCCTGAACTTCAATTTCGCCAGACTTGTTGGTGTCCAACTCTTCAAACAACAGCTTCCATCTACAAGGAAGCGTCCACCGATTAGTGATTTGAACATGCATTCATGTCTTCATTAGAGTGCTTTTAACCACGTTTTCTCTTGCTCGCGTGACAGCCTACTTATAGATTTATTCAGTAGTCAAATTATGTGGAAGTAAATAACATTAACTTACTGGTCCATTGGCTGAGTTGATATTCCAAGTGCAAGTTTATATTCGCCCAAGGAAATGATACCGTCGCCATTGATGTCAAGTTGGTCCATGAGGTTCTAAAGTGAAATAAATCGAAAATATAGTCAAAAACGTTTTCGGCAAGTAATGCGAAGGCTGATCGAGTTGCTGATAATTTAGTAGTACATTTAAACAAGTAGATATAGCTTCAAGGTCAATAATATCGCCTCACTGGTTGACAAATTTAAACAACCACGCTGTAGGTGCTTTTGAGGAGTTACAAAATGTTCCCGTATCTTCAGAATTGCGCATTGATTGGAATTTCATTTCATTGATTTTGTTTTAATGAGTGGCTTTGCGGGCGGTAACATCAAATCCCGTTATTGGCTAATTCCCAATCAAAGTAGGAAAGTTAGCATGATTATAAATCAGGACTAAATTTGACGTGAGTTTTGCCGTTTTTGGCCTTGTAACCAGCGTGTTCAGTAGAGCGATTCAACAAGTCCTGATGTGGTTTGCCCTCACATGTTAGTTTTAGCAAGTGTACTGCTATCCACAACCAGTGTAGTTGTCAAGATTAAACTGGCAGTTGCAGAGCGTGGACTCCACTGCAAACTATAGAGCCACTTAGCCTTTCAGATGCACACACTGCATCAAGCCCACATGTTCACACACGCATGTCACCTTTCAATCGAAAACGTGCTTTGCAAAGTGAATTATCTCCAAGTTAAGTTAAGACCCTCTGATACATTTGCCGCCAACGACGATGAACTACCAATAACTTACCAATTATACGTTCTTTAAATTAGTTTCGGCACTTACACCATATTTAGTGATATTTTGTGATTATGGCAGTAGGGACTGATGGGAATATTCATTTTGATTACATTTTTACATCTATCAAACATGTCTTACAGGAATTAGACAACACGGGTCTTTTATGTTGGCTCGTGGATAAATCTAGACTGGACGAGCTGAACAACACTTCAAGGCTTTGGAACAAACTTGATTGGTTGAACAACGGCAGTTGGTTATGGGCCAACTTCTAACCCAAGCGACTTGATTGGCCAGCTCAAACCCAACCAATGAAAGCACAAGTTCTCGTCTTTGTTTGCTCTGCATGTAAACTAGTACATGATTAACTAAAGGGAAAAGTGACATTTTCTCATCTTTAAACTGCCGCCAACGACGATGACATACTTCTAAATTTATCAACTGAAAATTCAGTAGATCATTTCTGAGAGCTAGATCCTGTACATGTGAAATTAATGTGGGATTATCATGAAAGTACTCATTTCGATTAAGTTACGACTCCTACCAAACGCGTCGGATTGGTAGTTTGCATGATGGCATTCTCAAACTGATCACGTGATTGAATTGAAAGATTCAAGTCGCTCCGAATCACACCCATTGGGCCGATGCAGGATTGCATCAGAACACGCCATCATACCAGAACTCACACGAAAACCACTTTCAGTTACCGCGCAGTGATATCTGGCATTCGCTAGCATTGGTTAACTACGAAGAAATGCGTGCATTAGGCACGTTTATCAAGACGGATGCGCCGTAACACCTTGCAGTCGATTATATTCTTTTTTTCTAACAAAATACTCAAAATAGTACTTACGTCGATTTCCGAAAGGGGAATGTTCCTTTCGAGTAGAACGGTTTTCAACTCGTCGCGTGTGAGAGTTCCGCTGTGGTCCTTGTCAGCGGCCTTGAAAGCGGCCAAATAACGGTGGCGCATTCCCATTTTCTAGAGCATCATTAAATCAATAAAAATCAATCGATAAAAAACAGCCGGATTGTAAACAAACTATCAGGCAGCCACTCTCGCATCCAGTGGTAATTCTTAATTTTAAGTAAATCTTAATTTAACCAACACGTTTGAGCCGAATTTTGTTTAAATCAGTAACTTAGTAATTGGCGGTAGAATTAAAATTGAGCCTTAGTAATGATCATGTCCTCATAGAAAGCATTCACCCAGAAACCAGAACTTCAGTTCTGATTTGTAGGGTAAAGTGAAAGTAACAGTTACATGAACTTACGCGTGTTTTCGTGAGTGCAAAGTCAATGAGAGTAGGCGGTTGGGCTTGTGCTTAAATAGCAAATGGGATTGTGAGTTTGCGGGGGCAGGCAGAGTGGTTTCACAGCCCTGAAGCTAGTGTTTTTCTAAAGCCACCGTCGCTTTGAGAGAGCGTGTTACGACGGCACTTTGACAACACGACCTACATGTGAAAAACGGAAATTCGAGATGTCGTTTGAGGGAGCACGGTTCGAGTCGATAACTGGATTTTTAAGTGGTCTTGAGATGTCGATTTTGTGGTTAACGGGAGGTAAGCACTTGATTCGACACAACGAACGCTAAAAAATGCTATAATGGTTTGTTAAAGAAGTTGAAATAAGCCTTATGGAAATAAGTCATGTTAGTAACACTTGAAAATGCAACCAATGAGATTTGAGCCACATGTAGATTTAGTTAAACAAATAATCGCCCTTAACACTACCAATTAAAAAAAAACCACTTAACGAACGTGATCGAACACAAATCAATCGATTTGTTTGAGTGCACTTTACTTCGTTCAGAGATCGATACTAATCAATACTGTAAAACATGACAATCGGTCTTCTTCCTCATTTCTGATTGGGCCACATCAAATGACTCGCATTTTCAACTTTTGGTGTGAGATTGTGGGGTAAAATTTAGTCAAAATTATTTCTAACGATTGATTACTACTCGACTTTTTTGTATTTTGGCAAGATTGAGCCTTGGAGACATTAGTACCTTGATATTTTTGCGTTTAAGAGCAGAGGAATTGGATATACTCTCTTGTAGGCGCCAGACTCAGGCGATGAAAGACACGTGCACTTGGCACATTCAACACAGAGCATTCCAGTCTCATTGATCGCCGCGTTGCAAAGGCAATTCGACGCTTTGGTGACATCAATTATGCACTTTTGCCTCAAACCAATCACAGGGCACTTTCAACTCTGTGCCACAGTTTCGTCTCAGCACAGTGCTCACAGAAATGCGCGTCTACTATCGTTGAAAAATCACTGGAATGGGTCACATGTGGTTAACTTTTAAATCAGCTGATTTCAATTCTAGATGAATTCACCAACTAAAGTTCAGAGTCCCCAAAAGTTATTGTATCGTCAAGATTAAAATAAGGCTTACACATCAAGTCACATTACTTGCTGTTTTGTCACCAAATGGCAATTTAATCCTGGGATAATTGTGATTCGGCGTGAAATCACTTTTGAGAAACTGAAAACTTAGTGTATCACTTGAAAAGGACTCCTGATAGAATCCGACGGTTCCAAAAAAAGCGTTGAGATTTGCACTCACATCGGTATCATATTTTGTTGTTCTCTGTACCTCGAAATTCAGGCACACAACATTGGTTACGCCCACAACGAACTGCTCTGAGAGAGTTATTATCGATCAGTTGGCATGCGTGAGTCTAGGCTAGGGGGGTCTGCAATTGTACCTGTCACAGATGAACAATCGTGAATTCAATCGATTATCTGCTTTCTACTGACTGGTCACTCAGTGCATTTTAGCCAATGATTTGAGCACTAGTAGTCGAAAAATTTGCCACATATACTAAAGCACTTTACTCTGAAGGATGCCGCCCTGATCGTTACAATAAACGACTGAGTCCGCTCATGTCTCCTTTACCGTTCCCTTACGACGGCCACTAGAGAGTCACAGCGCCGAAGCTGCGAAGCCAATCAGAACGAGCTAAAATTTCACCAGCAC